AGGGGAAGTTTAAAAGGAAGTAACCTTCTCATGTTGGGTGGATTAGTTTGTATAGTTGTATCTTATTGCCATTTTTGTCAAATCTCTCTTGCTACTGACCATTAAGTTCTTGCCTTGTCAGTTTCCCTGGAAGTTTATTCTACTCTTGCATCACCTGCAGACCAATCTCTTGTAAGTTTGACACTGATAACTGCTTTGATCTTTCCCAGATGCCATGGGGTTGGGACTACTCTGGATCATCCAACTTAACTGAACTGAAAATTTTGCTGGAAGAGTCCATCATGATCCGACGTCTGAAATCAGATGTGCTTTCCCAGCTTCCAGCAAAGCAGCGCAAAATGGTTGTGGTGGCTCCTGAAGGCATTAGTGCAAAGACCAAAGCTGTCTTGGCAGCTGAAGCAAAGAAGATGGCCAAAGGATATGCAAATGTAAGTCAGTGTTGTGGTTTAACCCACTCGGCTAGAAGCGAACACCATGCAGCCACTCACTCATAGGGAGAGAATTAAAGGGGTAAAAGGAAAAGAGACTCATGGGTTGAGATAAAAAAAACTTAATAATGAAACTACAATGAAATTGAAAATAATAATGACAATAACAAAGATAATAGTAATATATATAAAAATACAAATATACAAATGAGTGGTACACAGTGCATCTGCTCACCACCTGATGACTAAGGCCCAGCCTATTCTGGGCTCACAATTCCAGAGCAGGGAGAGTACCAAAACTGCAATCCCAGAAAAGAGAAGAGCCTGGGAATCCAAAGAGACCGAGAGCTGACAGAGAAAGAGAGAGAGCTAGCTTCTGGATAGACCCTTGTAATATACTGGACATGACATGCATGATATGGAATATACCATTGGTCAATTTGGGTCTCAATCCTAAACCTAAAGCTGAATCCTAAGCCAATAATTGGGGCTTTGCTACCTCCCAGCTTCTCCTGCACCTGCTGACACTGGCACAGCAGAGAAGCTGAAAAGTCCTTGACTGTCCTGGCAACAACTGTAAACATCGGTACGTTATCAGCCACCTTCTCAGCATAAATCCAAAACTTAGCCTCTTACTAACTATGATGAAGAAAGTTAACTCTGTCCTAGATGAAACCAGGACAGTCTCAAACTATTTTCATGATGAGCCATTGGTATTTCAGGTACCTTTATTTAAAAACATCAGTGGAAAAACAGTACCCTGAGTTCCAAGGAAGGTCAAAGCCACACCTCATGTGAAGGCATAGTGGAAGGCTGTTGAAGGCACAGTTTTAAATGAATGCACACCACAACCAAAACAGCTTAGCTTTTTTCCTTTTGATTTATGTGGTCTACTTTGTCCCTTTGTGTGAAATACCATTTCCTCTCTCTTCTTTCCTCTCTTGTTAGTCCTTTCTAATTCTTTCATACCTCCTGCCTCCGTACTTACTCTCTGTCTTGCCTTGTAATCCCAGTCACCCTACAAACACAGCCTTGTCGAAGCTGTGTTGTGAACACAGCAGTAGCCAAAATGTGAAGAGTATATTTTTGGTTTTTTAATTTGTTTTTCTTGTATGGATGGCAAATGCATGTTCTAGGTTCCCAGGTTGCTAATACAGTTCTGTAAGAACTTAAGAGTTTTTCCTTGCCATTTTAGTTGGGGAATGCTTGCTCAACTAAAACTATGTTTGTGAATATGCTTGTCATCTAACTTGTAGGCGTTGAGTAGGAGGTAGGAAGGGTGGTGTCAGAAATAAGAGTATGTGAGTATCTGCTGTGCCCAGTGGTAAGTAGGAGACTTCCCCTGCAGTCCCCTTTTGTTGTGCATTTTTAGGCTGATTTTTTTTTCTAGCAAAGTGTTTATTGGCAGCCTCAGACATCCCAGATCTGTAAACAAGGAGAAAAGGCATTTTTGAGACTCACACTTATTTGTCTTTGCAGAAACAACAGCAGAAGGAAGCTCTTCTCCTCTTCTACAACAGAACAGCAGAAGCTAAAATGCATTCCGTCGTGTAAGCTGCATGTCATTGCTTAATTCTTGCCTAGTAAAATGTGTTTTTCTGCTAAGTACAGGAAAACAATGCTTTAGAGATAACAGCGCAGGGACATGAAGCATAGCCTGGAGCCAGCTTGGAAAAAAATTATTTTACTTACAACGAACTAAACATTTTCTTCTCTCAGTGTTCCTAGGCTGAGTAAGTCTTCTGATATAATTCCAGATATGGATCTAAACTGTCATTTGAACCATCTAAAATTACTTGGCACTTGGGACTTGGATCAAGTTCCCTGGTCTGGACCCTATTTCAATTTAAGGAGGAGGGGAGTAGTGAAACTAAAAGTATCAACAGAATTTGAGAAAACAAATGCTGTGTTCCTTCTGCGGCAGGAACCCTGAGCCAAAAAGCTTATGAGATAGACTGAGCTTTAGTTGTAGTATGCTCTAAGGATGTCACAGCCCCTGAAGTTCTGGGCTCTTTCACAGAGCTCACCTCAGTAGCAGAAGTTTTCTATCATAGGTGTGGTTTTAACTCTTATCTTCCCGAGGAATGATTTCTTTCTGTGACTTTCTGTGCCCTTTCATCCTTAGCCTTTTGCTGGCACTGGAAGGAGTTGCTTTAGGTCATATAGCATGTCTTTTTAATAACTAGTATGTTAATAACATGAAAACAGTTTACTTTTCCACAGCCCTCTGAATGTAAAGACCAGCTGATGTGCGCTGTGTGATTTCGCAGTCTCAGACCTTGCTGCAGAATCTGCCTGTTCGGCACAGAACTGCACTTCAGGGTCCCAGCGCTCATTTCTGTAGAAGAGTTTCTTCCTTTTATGTTAGTGAACAGTTAGAAGACTTTCTTCCTTTTATACTCAGTTGCAAGTGTGAACTGAATATGAAACCATGAAGTGCTGTTTACTTGACTCTGGTAGGAACTAGTCCATTTTTTTTCCTAGGGTTTAGTAGCATTTAAAATACCAGTTATAAGCTGCTTAACATTTGGTACCATCTAGCTAACGGTACTCTGATCATTGGCACCTCCCATGCCATACCTTTGATGACAGTGTCTTCCATTACTTCCATTGAAATGACTAGCCATTTGTCAAATGCAGTATGGGAATGAGATATAAAATAATTGTAATGTGTTGGCATCTGCTTGCTACACTGAATGTTCACTTTGATATTTGTTTTGCTTTAAAATCTAGCAATCACACTTTTCTCCCAGATTCCTTTGTTAAATGCTGTTGTCACATAATTGGGATATGAACACCACAGGACCCTGGGAGCTGTCTGCAAAGCACTGATACATCTTAATATAGTGCTGGAAATCCCACTCGGTGTTTTCTGACAGTTGCTGCTGACCTAAGCTGTGTTGTATTTAGCAAAGAACTTGGTATTCCTGATCTTTGCAGCTATTTTGTTATTCCAAAGAAAAGATGACATTTGTATCATCTGTTCTGATAGCTGCTGCTATACTTAGTTACAAATTTTGGACTCTGTGTTTTTCAGGCTCCAGTTAACCTGATTGTATCACAAGTTACTACATAGGAATGGTTTCTGTAGCTCAGCTATTAGTCATTGGCAAAAGCTGGATGTTTTCATTTAGTTAACACTGTTTAACTGCATTTAAAAGGACTCTTGCTACCTTTCATTGGTCATTAGCCTATATGCATATGGATAATTCCTAGAAATAGCTCACGCGTTTAGATTGTTAAGCTGTAGTAAATTGTCAGTGTGAACCCTTGCAAGAAAAGCTACTTTTAGGATACTCTGATGCATGTGTTTAGAAACCTTTTATTCTAAAATAAAAAAAAATCTTAAGTATACATAGAAAGGATAACTGTATACAGATTAATTTAGCATATTGTGATTGTGCAAAAGTTAGAAATGGAGAAGTGTGAATTGAGATTGTCAAATAAGTATAGATGACCTCCAGCTGATTGATCTGGGATGTCATGTTTCAAGCAGGACATAATAAATTGATTGATATGCAAGTATAAATGTAGGCAGCTGTCCAGCTGTGGGGAAGAAAAATGAATGGATTTTCCTGTAATACCTTTTTTAATCTGTAGGAGGCTTGACTTGCTGCTTACATTTTACTGCAACTTTTTTATTCTAGACTATTTCCTAGTTTCTGTGTATAGATAAGCACTATCTTTAAAATTTGTTGTGAGCAAGGCCTCTATTCTCTCAACACATAATTTATAGAGTTTTGGGGTTTTTTCCTCTTTCATGTAGAGAATACATCCTGGAGTTACTGGAAAGTGGGAATGATAAATTCCTGGTGTTTGCTCATCACAAGATAATGCTGGATGCAATAGGTGGAGAGCTGGAGAAGAAAGTAAGTAATTGACTGAGTCGTCTTAACTTTATCATTATTCCAGCTTTAAAGCTATTTAAGAGCTCCTCAGAGTTATATCCAGTCAGATAGTTTATGAAAGGTAGCGGCAGAGATAATTTCTACTTGCTATACTTCTGAATGTGGCCTTCACTGAGGGAGCTGGGCTGTCAGGGTGAATGTCTCACAGGATGCACTTTGTATTAGCTGAATGGCTTTTTTTGCATTTAATGTTCTTTATTCTCCATCATCTGCCCTGGAGTTTGTGACTTCTTGGAGGAGTGTTACTCTGTGTGGCCATCTCTGCGTTGTCCTCCAGGCTTTCCTCAGAGAAGGAGAATGTAACAACCCAAGTCCAGCTATGGCTGCCTTCCTTTGTGGTGCTCTTAAATTTTTGAACTGAGATACTATAGGGAGACATAGACTCCCAATCATCTCTGATGTTAAAAGTGTTTGGGTAATTATTCATGTGAGACTTCCATGGATACTCCTGAAGAGTTCTGGGTCATACTGGGGCAGTGTGAATGATGGTTTAAGTTAATATTCCAAACTATAAAACACAGTGGCAGTGGTGACTTTGCCTCTGTGGCAGCATCCTCCAGTAGAACAAGGAGGTTAGACACTGAAGAGTTATGGCCCTGCGTCACCCAAGTTTGTCGTGTCTCCCCTGAGCCTACCACAGAGCAACCGAGATGTGTAAGATCCCATCTCCCCCGTCACAAACAGCGGAAGACTTAGGGAGGTTCTGGAGGTTGTAGCAGCTGTAACATCAGGACACAGACAATATTCAGCTTCGTATTAGGCCAGTTGCCTTTCCACTGTACCTGAGCTGCCAGCTTGTTGCTGTCCTTCCGGTTGCTCAGGACTGGTGGGAGAGCAGTGGACATAAGAGCAAGTCATGCATTGTGAACAGACGGGAGGGACATTATATGCTGAGCTACAGTGCCTCTGCCTTAAAGATGAGGAAAGGTCTCAAGAATACAACTGTTGCCGTTTTACTTTCCTGGTTCTGCCATGAGGAAGGGAAACAGAATCCACTAAAACATGGAAGGAAGATACAGGAAAGGGGACACAAGGCCTCTGAAAAGTATCATCTGTCTTTTCACAGCATGTTGAATACATTCGCATTGATGGCTCCACACCTTCAGCCGAGCGGCAGTCTCTGTGCCAGAAGTTCCAGTTCTCAGAGAAGCAGGTTGTGGCTGTCCTGTCCCTCACCGCTGCAAACATGGGCCTGACGTTGTCTGCTGCGGACCTGGTGGTGTTTGCAGAGCTCTTCTGGAATCCGGGGGTATGCATCCTGGAGGGGACAGGGTTGGATGCTCCTTGGAGAGCAGAAACTGGTGCTTAGGAGATGTAATGGGCAGGGGACCTTCTCTAGGGTTTTCCTCTTTCTTTCTCTGATGGCCATTGTCTCTGCACCTCCAGGTGCTTGGGCTTGAACCAGTGAGGCTGGTTACACAGCTTGCTGGCTGGAGAAGATGGTGTGAAAGGGAAATGTGCTCCTGTTTCTTGAGCTCTCACCAGCTCGCCCGGACAAGACCTGAAAGTATCCACCCTCAGTGCTGACCCTCTACTTTTGAAAAGTACTCAGTGCCTTTTGGGAACCTGGTGCAGCAGGTTACTTCTTGGCTTAGTGTGTGCTTGAGGATGCAGGTGTTAACAGGATCCAGATAAGAAATAGTTGCTAAGCACAGGAAATGAGATCTCTTTGTACTCCGATGCTTATGTTATTTCTTAGGTGTTGCAGCTCTCACTTTATTTTCTTTGTCATGTCTTTACATAAAGGTTTTGATCCAAGCAGAAGATCGGGCACATCGAATTGGACAGACCAGCTCTGTTAATGTACACTACCTGGTGGCTAAAGGCACAGCAGATGACTACTTATGGTAGGAAGTGAGAAAGACACTTTGTTTCTTCTGATACCTATTTTCATTGCTTGTTATATGTGATGTAAGGTGCTTAATGTTAGTGCTGATTTCCACAGCCTATGACGGGAGGAGCAGTTACTGCTGATCAGGGCTGCTGTAAGCTGATGACATGGCTACAGTGGACATAAATTAAATGTATGACAAGCAGAAAGAGTAAAAGTAATTATCTGACAAAGAGAGGGCTGTTGAGAGAAATTCTGGGAGAGCTGATGCCTCTAAAACCTTCACAGCCTCTGTATAAGGAGGAGGAATTGTCTGAGATACAGCCCAGAGCAGCCGTGTGCTGGGGTACTGTAAAGTGCTGAGTACTTTCAAGCAGAGTCAAAAGACACTGGAGATGGTTCAGTGTATCATGGATCAGGTCTGAGGACCAACTGGCTGCTGAGTGCTTGGACAGGGAGATGTGGAGTATAACTGCACTGTTGCTTTCCTCTTGCTACTCAGTAAGCCCTTCGGATGGATTAAAGAAGTGCTACTGACCCACCTCTGGCAAGTTGTGGTTTGAGCCTTTTTGGCTGCAGTGAGAGCTATCAGTGGACACTGGTCCTTAGGGCTGGGGAATCTGACATCCTGGGGAGGGGGAGGATCTGATGAATCCTTAGTGCAACAAGGGAATTGACCTGCAAATGATGAAAAGAAATTATCTACCAGCTGGTTCATTTAAAGTCCAAAATTACATCTTTATTACCTTGTTTAAAGGAACGAATGAACTAAGTGAACTGGTGCAGTTCCCAGAATATCATGATGGCAAATAATTATAACCCTACAATGCAGGGATCTGGAAACTGATGCATCGCCCACATTTCATGGAAAGTTAATGACAGTAATTCTGCCTTTATTTGTGAAATGCTGCCTGTGCAGTCATTAGTGCTTAATGGGAAGGAAATACGGCTCTTCAAAGAAGGACAGTGGCATCCTTTTTAAAGGCGAGAAAGAGAACAAGATGACAAGGCTATTTGGTAAATGCATTAATTATGCTGTGGCCTTCACTTCTTTCAGAATGTCCAGGTTGGGAACTCTCGGCTCCTTGGGCCAGTGGTGGATTCTTCCTGCTGCAGTACATCAGGAGATACCCTAGAAATGCTACTGTGTCTGTTGATGGGGAATTACCATCGCTTGCCTTGGAGACTGAACACAAAGGCTATTGGGTCTCCCTTTAGCTGCATCTCCTTGCTCTGACTTCATACCACCGATGTTGCCTCAGTGTGTTCTCGAAATACTTATAGCTTGAAATCCTCTTCTTGTTACTTATTTAAATTTGATTGATACTTATTTAAATTAAATTGATTGATATCCCAAGACAGCATGCAGTCATAAACAAGAGCAGGACAGGTTAAGGAACTAACAAGTTTTATTAGAAAAGCCATCTTTTTACCCCTGTTATGTCTTTTTTTCAGGTAAATGTAGTAAATGACACAGTGTCCTTGCATGATATTTTCTTCCTTTCAGTAGTATCTGTTTTATCTCTCCTAGGCCAATGATTCAAGAGAAAATTAAAGTGCTGGGGGAAGCTGGTCTTTCAGAAACTAATTTCTCCAGAACAGCTGAATCCACTAATTACTGCCCTAAGGTAATTGACCTGAAAGAGTATCAGTGGTCCCTGGGAGAGTCTGAATGGGTTTTGGCTTATATACATCTAGATTGGCAGGTGATTGACAGGCTGACCTACACCTGTTTTGCCTTTAATGCCACAGACCAGATTCTCCAGCTCCTCTGAGGATCCATGCCTTGACTTGGACTCTCCACAGAGTTTCCCAAATGTGCTGCATGCAAGGAGACATGATAGCCTCCAAAGCATATATATGTCTCTGAGCTATATGTGTGTATACATATGTATGTATGATATATATATAAAAAATGTTATATATGCAAATGTGCATTGTCTCAGGGGGAGTGCCCTCTGACTGTTGCTCACTTTGTTTATATGACAATGTGTATGCAGATTCTGTCTGTTCTAATTTCTCAGCCAGATCCAAAGCAGAAGACCATCTACGACCTATTCCAGACAACATTCTCTGAGACCAGAGATGATACTGATGACATTTTGCTTTTGGAGGCAGCTGATGCATGCTGTGAGTTTGACTCTTGCAGTGACTTGCAACATACAGAAGGAGAGACGTGTTCAGCGAGTCCCCCCAAAAAGCGGCGTATTGAGGAGTTTTTTAAAGTGTAATGGTGACAGCAAAAGAGACGGTGGCTAAGAGGTTTTTTTAATTAAAAAAAGAAAAAAAAAGCAATCAAGTATTATTTTTTGAATTTTCAAAAATAAAAGACTAAGTTTTCTATATTTTTAGTGCATTTCATCTCAAAGGATGAGAAGGCAATCGGACAGGGTGACAGACGAGCCATGCACACTTGGCAGCCTGCACATTTTGCAGTCCTGGTTTTGCTGATGACTGAATGGGCATGGGCCTGTAGCATGCTGATTTGCTTCAGCATGTCAGCTTCCACAGTTGTTTTGTTTAAAAAGCAGGTAATGGTTGTCTGTCCACAAGGCAATCTGTTGTGAAAACTAACTTATCGGCAGCTATAGTGTGCTTTGAACAATCAGTCTTCCATCTCCAATAATTTTAGTCTAAATTTATAGGAGTCAGTTCACTGGCAAAATTTGGCCCTTACTTGTGTCACTCAAGCTGGCTCTCTGGTATTCAGTCTGGCAGTGAAAAGATCCAGACAGATCTTGTTGTTTTGTGGAGGTGGGGAAGAGGAGGGAGAGCCCCAGATTTTTGTCTGTGCAGAGCAGTCAGTACCTTGAAACTAAGGAGTATAACTGTCTGCCAAGAGATTTTGCATTGCCAGTTAGGCACACATCTGTCTGAGCACACTAGTTTCTGGCCTCGTTTGCTCAATCTTCAGACCTGCTCCATGGAACATGCTGCTTGCGTCAATGGAAGGTGAAGCTTGTGCTGACTGCTCAGGAAGGTCGGAAGGTGTGTGTGTGTTTTCTTCAAGGCTGATTTCCACAGATGAGTGAGGAGAGGAGCACATGTGCAGACTTCTCCTCTTGTTTTGTAAGAAACTGGACTGAGCTGTTTAAATAAAAAGTTTTAAGTTGTGGTTCCTAAGCTTTTGGTACTTTTTCTGATTTAGGATTTCATCTCCCATTTGGACCTTAAGCTTGAGAAATATGTGATGCAGTGTAAATACTAGCTTTTTAAAAAATATTTACAATGGCTGAAAGATAGGTCTTTTTGGGTATACTTCCTTTTGTGCTTTCTAAAATGCATCAGCTTTCAAAAGGGAAACTCCCTTGATACTTGCTTATAGATGAATCAACAGCTACTTCCATAAGACATTTAGGCTGGTACCCTAGCACCTGTTATTTGCTCCCATTACAGCTCTGTGCGGGTTACGCTGAGAATGCCAAAAGCAGCACTGTTGCTTGATGCAGTAAGTAAGATGCCTGTTTTCATTTTGTGATAGTCTCTGTCATGCTCTCAGCCCTGTGAACTGGGAGACCTAAACTTGGAGCCTTGGTGCTGCCTGAGCAAACCTACTCTTTGGTTCCTTTTGGGAGCTTGTGACGCAGTTGCTGTGCCTTGGGCATGGCCTGATGCCACTTCACAGTGGTGATGCCTCTGCACAAACTCTAGAGGCTGCTTTTGATGTGGGCTTGAGGTAAAGGCAAATGGCTCTCTTGATCACAACTGGTCTTTTCAGGCATCTCTGCATGGTTGTCTTTAATTTTTTTGTGTATTATTGCCAGTGTGGTATAGTGTGATCCCAAATTAATGTCTTTCATTCTTTTGGTCTTAGTACTGGAAGATACTTGGAAATGGGCTAGTGTGAAGCAAATGTGAGCCAGGAGTACAGGAGAAGGCATAATTTCACAGAGACACCAGTTAGCTATGTTTTACAGACATAATCTTTAGCGAAGGATGAGGGAAAAGCAAATTGGAAGGCTTACATTTAGCTTCTGGAGGCCAGGAGCTAACATGCTGTGCAGGCGGTGTGCTTGGCTGCGTTGCAGATACCAGACACAGACAAAAAGACCTCTCTTCAGTGGTTGAGGAGGAAAAAGTTTGTGTTACAAGATCAACCTCATAATAACTGGGATTTTTTTTTTCCTGCATTGATTATCCTATTTTCAGCAAGTGTCGTCATGGAAGTGCCCTACAGGCTGTGTATGCTGTTGTGCTGGGTGGAGACTTTTCATTCATGACTGCAGAAGGTGCTTTGGGGGGGGTGTGTGTGTGTGAGTGAAGAGGAGCAGGACCAAAGATCTTGTGACTGGCCAACTGGAGGAAATGCTTTATCTCTGGATTTGAGACTGAGGGCTAAACAATTTATTTTGCTCCAACAGCTGGCCAGGAGATGACTACAAACTTTTCGGCATTTCTAAATGTCTTTCTTCTTCTTCTTAACCTGTTTCTAGGACACATGATACTTGTGGAGAGGGTTGTTCTGAGTAAGGGGTATGAAATGTTGCTGTCTGCCTACTGAAAAAAAATATGGAAGATGTTATTTGTATACCTATATTGTCATCTCCTATAGGAGTAATTCTCTTCCACCTTGTAAAGCTATAGCTACTCCAAAGCAGTATTTTTCCAAAATCTGAAAGTACCCTTGGAGAATTCTGCTTCTCATAAACTCAATTTATCTTATCCATATATTGATAAATCCCAGCACTGTTAGAGGAATGGAAGGTGTACTCTTTCTTTGTTAGGACCCATAAAATCTTAGCTGGTTTGCTACAGAGTTACAAAGGCTCTTCAAGTACACTTGAGGTTCACTTTATCCTTACTAGATGGAAAAGGGGAGAAGAATCTTGCAGGAAAGTGCAAGTCATTACATCAAGGGATTGGAAAGACTGTGCAGGCCTTAGCCCAATGATGCCATTAGTTTGTCATTAATTTGATTAGGAGGTGGCTGGGAAGCTGCCAGCGGGCTCAGACAGGATCTTCAAGGCTTGCTGATGAGCATTTGTACAAGGCAGTGTGCAGGTCATGAGTAAGACCCACAGGCTCTTGGGCACTCTGACATCTGTCCATCAAAAATGGTATAGCTTTAACTTTCTGGCATTATCTAAAGCCCAGTAAAGGGAAGGACTCACCTTACTGGATCTTGGAGCATCTTAGTGTGACTGGATGTCTGCTTGTACACCTGCTTCTGCGCTCTCCCCCATGTTAGAGGAAGGCATGTTTTCAGGAAGGATGCCACACTGGGAACAACAGGTAAAAATGCCTAAACAATGAAATGGAGCAGTTTGAACTACATCTTCAGCACATGAAGCTGGCGAGCCTGAGGCATGCAGAACACTTCAAGGCGGTGCACTGTTGAAGCAAGGTTTTGGAGCTCTGCTGGCCTGTCTGCATCCATCCATCTTCTCAGTCACTTGGAAATGTATGTTTATTTTGGCAGTGCTGAGGATGGCTGTTGTCTGAGCGGGTTGGGTTTAGTTGTTGGCAGAGCTGTCTGTAATACTGCTAGATGAAGGATGTGACCATGTTCTGTGCTGTCACAGCGAACTTTAACTCTTCAGGTACAGACTGGAGAATAGCAGTAGATCCTCTGTCCTGGATGTGTTGGCTGACAATTTTTTCTTTAAGCAAATAGAAGATGAAGCAAAGAAGCCAAAAGGAATTTTTTATTTTCTTCTTTTTTCTTTTAATACGTTGGTATTGAAGATGTATCCTGTGAGTCATCGTTATGATGACGATCTGAAAAGGGCAAATATATTCCTAGAATGTATTGAATGAGATTTTGACTCAACAGAGGGAGATATAAATACCATTGCTGAAAGCCCTGCTGAGCCCTCATCTGGAACAGGGCTTTGGCCCACCAGCTCCTGAGAGGGCTCTGACAGGAGGAGAGCTTGCAGGGATGACTGGGGAACAGGGAGCCTGGCATGACAGGAAATTAAAAATGTGAGTGCTCAAACCAGCAAAGCAACAGCCAAGACAGGATGCGGCATCTGCCTATGAGCATCTCCAAAATTGCAGACCCCTGCCAGGGAGAAGCTGATGTAGTGGCATTCTAGTCATTAATTCCCTATTAAATGGGCTGCAAAGGAAAAGGAGAGCTGTTGTAGTCAAGGCAGCCATGATGGGTATGGAGCTCTTGGGAAGAAAAGCACCTGCAAAGAGCACCAGGGGATGATTTCTCTGGGTGGGCTGGGCAGCCCCCTGGGCAGCCCTGGCTCCCTCCTGCAGCTGTCTCTGTGCATTGAAGAACTCTTGGGTAACCGGATTACACTTCTTAATCGAGATTAATGGGTTGTTAATCCCGTTAGGAGCATTGCAGCTCGGTGGTGTTGGTACATGCTTTGCTGCCTGTCCCCGGGGTTGGGTCCTGGCCTGGTGGCACAGTCAGCTGGGGTGCCACGGGGGTCCCGGCACGGTG